TTGTACAACAATCTACTGAGCTGGCCAGAACCAGCTCTTCAGGAAGTCTATTCCACATTTTCACAGTTCTTAATATGAACAAGCCTTTGTATATTTGAAGGTTAAATCTCTTTTCCTCCAGATGTAAAGAGTGCTCCTTTGTCCTCTGTGATGACCTTAAAGTGAATAACACTAAACCAAGTTCATTATATGGACTGCTTATGTATTTATACATGTTGATCATATCCCCCCTTAATCTCCTCTTCTCAAGAGAGAATATATTAAGTTCCTCTAATCTTTCCTCTTAGCTGAGCTCCTCCATGCCTCTTATTAGTTTGGTTGCCCTTCTCTGCACTTTATCCAGTTCCAATATCCTTTTTTTGAACTGGTGCCCAAAACTGAACAGCATATTCTAAATGAGGTCTTACAAATAATTTGCACAGGGGCAAAATGGTGTCTCTCAATCTCTAATATAAACCTCTCTTAATACAGAAAAAGATTTCCACTGGTGTAGACACAGGTGCTTTTATTTGCATATTTGTTATTGTCTTTGAAAGTTATCTTTCAATAGTAACATCAATGGTAGCTAAGAAGCAACATTGACTCCCAAGCTACTGAGTAGTATTCATTGATATGAACGATTCAGTTCAATAGTTGCACCTTATTAATTACAACAGGATATTGACCTAGAAGTAGCTGCATTGGAAAGCCAGAGAAATGGGTTTTGTTAATATAACACCTAAGAAAGCAATTCTTTATGTTTTGCTCTAACTCAACTGCTACATTCAAAGAGTAACCTACAAAGAGAAACATTTATAAACCTTCGCAGCTCAGGATCAAAATGTTTAATCCAATGCTTTTGTCAATAAACAATTTCACACAGTGAAATTTCAGCAATCCACAACAGAAGTTCATGCTGCTATGGTTAAGGTTCTTTGTTTGTAGCATATTAGCTGTCAGAATGAAGCGGTTCAAAGTATGCAAACAGCAGAAAGTTATTAGGCTCTGCAGAGTTAATCTTTGTCCTAATGGGCATCTATACAAAATATTACCTTATGCTAGTAGGGTTGCATATAATGTTATGTTCATAAAGATACTTTGTGAAAATGATAAAGTGTACTTAAACCCATTTGCACCAGTGAATAAATACACATTAAAATAATGGTCCATACTGTATATCACAGCATTTGATAAATGTCAAATGCCTATTTTTTATCTTCTATACTGAGGCCTCATTATTATCCTGTTTTTCTACACTGCGTTGTGTGGGTAGAGCTAAGTGGCAGCATGTGATGCATCTTGCATATGTCATTTCAGTGTTTTCCCATCCATTACTTAGGCCCACGCAGAGTCAACTAGTGCTCTTGTGGTCATCTGGACACATTGGGGTTGATTTACTAAAGCTGGAGAGTGCAAAATCAGGCGCACTTCTGCATAGAAACCAATCAGCTTTCAGGTTTTATTGCCAAGGCTTAATTGACCAAGCTGGGGCTAGAAGCTGATTTGCTTCTATGCAGAAGTAAGCCTGATTTTGTACTCTCCAGCTTTAGTAAATAAACCCCATTGTGAAAAAAAAGTAAAGCATCAATTAGAAATTGTAAAAGTAGACCATAGAAAAAACAGGGGAGATTTACAAAACTGGTGCACACATAATCTGTGCATAGTAGCCAATCAGCTTCAAATTTCAGTCAAGATTTGACATTAAGCTTCTGGCTAATAGACCATATTCACAGAGTAGTGGTTAATGATTCACGTTCTGTATGGTCTAGGGCAGGGGTCTGCAACCTTTAAGACATAAAGAGCCACTTGGATCCGTTTCCGAGAGGAAAAAAAAGACTGGGAGCCGCAAAACCATTGCAACATTTAAAACAAATCCGACACTGCATATATTGCAAAAAGCGCTCTGGTCATGAAGGGGGTTTAAGGGCCCAGTAAGCAAAGGGTTAATCAGGGCCACAGTGTATCGTCATAATCACAATCATAGCCTGGTGGGCAACCTTTTTTTTCAACTGAGCCAAATCTCGCCAAAACCACGATTGAAATTTATTTTGAGAGCCACATTTTTAAAACTGAAAATACATCCCCCATATAGTAATTCATCCCCTATATAGTAATTCATCCCCCATAGTAATTCATCCCCCATAGTAATTCATCCCCCATATAGTAATTAATCCCCCATATAGTAATTAATCCCCCATATAGTAATTCATCCCCCCTATAGTAATTCATCCCTCATATTAATTCATCCCCCATATTAAGTCCCCAAGTCCCCCCTGTGTCAATTCACTTACCTTTGCTCCGCGCGTTCCTCTCGCCGTGTTCCCGCGCCGTTCCAGTGTAGCATGAAAATCTATCTCCTATGAGGATCTGTCCCCCTCGACGTATCTGCACATGTGCCAGTTTCAGGCATTAGCAGCCGATCGGCGATCTCCGGCACATGCGCAGATACGTTGAGGGGGACAGATCCTCATAGGAGACAGATTTTCATGCTACACCGGTCTTCAGGGCGGACTGTGAGAGGAGCCTAGCAGGAGCCTAGCTCCGCGGGCTGGATTAAAAGGTCCGTCGGGCCGTAGTTTGCCCTTTGCTGCCCTATTGCCTGTCACCTGGTGGGCAGTGTGCTCCGGAGCCGCAGCCAAGGTGAAAAAGAGCCGCATGCGGCTCTGGAGCCGCGGGTTGCCGACACCCGGTCTAGGGTTATTAGAGGTGTATCCCAAGGTTCAGTGTTGGGACCCTTACTTTTTATTATGTTTTTAAATGTTATGGGGTCTTGGATTAAAAGTACCATTTCAGTCTTTGTAGATGATACCAAGCTATGCAGTGCAATAACATCCTTACAGGATGTCTTGAACTTACAAGCTGACCTCAATGCACCATTTAATTGTGCATCTGTGTGGAAAATAAAGTTTAATGTTGATAAATGTAAAGTTATGCACTTGGGGGCTTACAATAAGGCCATATCATACATACTAGGTGGACTGCAAGTGGGGAAATCAAAGGTGGAGAAGGATCTGGGTGTTCTGGTAGATCATAAGCTTAAAAATATTATGCAATGCCAAGCTGCGGTTTTCCAAAAATAGCATTAAAAAAGAGGTGTAAGCTGCAGAGAGAGAGATATCATTTTGCCCCTGCACATATTAGAAAGACCTCATTTGGAAGATGCTGTTCAGTTTTGGGCACCGGTTTACAAAAAGGATATTGGGGAAATGGAGAAACTACAGAGAAGGGCAACCAAACTGATAAGAAGCATGGAGAAGCTCAGCTAAGAGGAAAGACTAGAGGAACTGAATTTATTCTCTCTTGAGAAGAGGAGATTAAGGGGGGATAGGATCAACATGTATAAACACATAAGTGGTCCATTTAATGAACTTGGTTTAGAGTTATTTACTTTAAGGTTATCTCAGAGGACGAAGGAGCACTCTTTACATCTGGAGAAAAAAAAGGTTTAATCACCAAATACAAAAAGTCTTCTTCACAGTAAGAGCTGTGAAAATGTGGAATAGACTTCTTCAAGAGCTGGTTCTGGCCAGCTCATTATATTGTTTTAGGAAAGGCCTGGATTCTTTCCTAACTGCACATAAAATAACTAGGGTATAGACACCCTAATCTGAATAAAAATGGCTTAGATGCAAAGAGGTTCCTTTAACTAGAAATAGAAACTTGAGTCCTGAGATGTTTAAAGTTCCTGATGAGTCTTCTGCTAACAATGGTGGGGCTCATATACAGTAGTGAGTAATGGTAATTTGATGAAGATAACAGGCTGTGGTAAATGCTCAAAGCAAAGATCTCTTGGCACTGAGGTGTAAAGGTGTCTAGGTATCTAGAGTGTTGTCAGAAAGAGGTTGGGCATTCGACTGCTCACCAATGACATGGATAGCGTGGCCTCCTTGGAACAGAGTTTTTGCACAGGCTCTTGACTGTTCGCGGAGAAGTACAGAGCTACCCCCTGACATCCTGTCAGTGCGGCAAGCAGAGATGACTGGCTGAAGACTAAATACTGACAGTCCCAATGCAGAGAAGTTGATGTGGCAATTTGTGTTACTGCTGTGCTGAACTGATATGCAGAGTCCCTCAGTAGTAGCCAACAATCTGTCTCTGGAAGAGAACCACAGTCCCCCTATTCTCAGCTCTAAATCCTGTGCCCAGAGAGCTAGGCAGTCCCTTGCTGTAGAATATATAAGATTTCCCAGCATCCCTTTGTATTCAGCTCTCTCTGCTAGTTGTAGTCCAATTGGCACTCAGGAACACAACATGTCCTGGCTATTGGACTACAGATCCCAGGATCTTCAGCTGTACCAGAACTGTGTCCACTCTGTTAATAGCAGGAATTGTAGCAGTCCCAGTATTGTGCACTAAGGGAAAAAAAAGTAATAATGATAGCTTCATCTGTCTGTAAGTGTCCTTAGATGGCATAATGGTATAACCAGAACATGGCTACATCTCTATATAAACTGCTCAGCAAAAATGAATACACCCCTTTTGAAAAGTAACATTCTAATAAATATCTCAATGAACACAAGAACAATTTCCAAAATTTTGACAAAACTGAGTTTCATAGAACATTTATTTAGTACATTACATAAAAATAAGGTTAATAATATAACTTTGATTACAAAATTTTCAGTTTTACTCAAATTAGCTGATGCAAACATGAATACACCCCGCAGCAAAAACTACTACATCTAGTATTTTATATGACCTCCATGATTTGTAAGAACTGCACCAAGTCTTCTAGGCATGGAATGAACAAGTTGGCGACATATTGCAACGTCTATCATTTTTCATTCTTCAAGAATGACCTCTTTTAGATCAGGAGACATACTTGTCCATTGAATTGCTTTCACCCTGTTCTTCTTCAGAAATGCAACAGTAGCCTTAGATGTGTGTTTTGGATCAATGTCCTGTTGGAAAAATGCACAATGACCAAGGGCACGGAATGATGGTAGTATCTTCTCTTTCAATATAGAGCAGTACATCTGTGAATTTATAATACCATCAATGAAATGCAGCTCCCCGACACCAGTAGCACTCATGCAGCCCCACAGAAGGACACTGCCATCACCATGTTTCACTTGAGGCACCATGCATTTTTCTTTGTACGCCTCACCTTTGCAATGCCATACAGTTTTGAAGCCATCAGTTCCAAAAACATTTATCTTGGTCTTCTAACTCCAGAGCACAGAGCCCCAGTAGCCTTCTTCTTTTTCAGCATGCACCCTGGCAAATTCCAAATGGGTTTAAGGAGAGGCTTCTTTCATGGACGATATAGGATATTGTAATTCTATTTATATATATATATATATATATATATATATATATATATATATATATATATATATATACACACACACACACCCGTATACAGTTCTCAACATAAATGAGTACACCCCTTTTGAAAAGTAGTATTTTAATCAATATCTCAATGAACACAAGAACAATTTCCAAAATTTTGACAAAACTAAGTTTTATAGAACATTGTTTAGCTCATTACATGAAAGTAAGGTTAATAATTTAACTTAGAATCTTCAGTTTTACTCAAAATTAGCTGATGCAAAAATAAATATACTCCACAACAATAACGACTCCATCTAGTATTTCGTATGACCTTCATGATTTGTAAGGACAGCACCAAGTCTTCTAGGCATGGAATGAACAAGTTGGTGACATATTGCAATATCTATATTTTTCCATTCATCAAGAAGGACCTATTTTGGAGCCTGGATGCTGGATGGAGAGTGATGCTCAACTTGTCTCTTTGGATTTTCCCATAGGTGTTCGATTGGGTTCAGATCAGGAGACATACTTGGCCACTGAATCACATTCACCCTGTTCTTCTTCAGAAATGCAACTTAGATGTGGCCTTAAATGTGTGTTTTTGGATCATTGTCATGTTGGAAAAGTGCACGATCACCAAGGACATGGAGTGATGGTAGCATCTTCTCTTTCAACAAAGAGCAGTACATCTGTGAATTAATGATACCATCAATGAAATGCAGCACCCCTACACCAGCAGAACTCATGCAGCACCACAGAAGGATTCTGCCACCACCATGTTTCACTGTAGGCTCAATGCATTTTTCTTTTTACTTTTCACCTTTGCAATGCCATACAGTTTTGAAGCCATCAGTTCCAAAAACATTTATCTTGGTCTTATCACTCGAGTACAGAATCCCTGTAGTCTTTTTCAGCATGGGAACTGGCAAAATCTAGGCTGACTTTATTATGCATGGGCTTTAGGAGAGGCTTCCTTCATGGAAGACACCCATGCCGGCCATTCCTCTGCAGTGTACACATTGTGTCATGGGAAACAATCACCCCAGTTTGGCTTTCCACTTCTTTAGTTAACTGCAGTGAACTTGCATGGCGATTTTCTTCAACCCTTCTCATCAGAAGATGCTCCTGTTGGGGTGTTACAGTTCCATCTTTGTTAACTTTTTGTATCACGTTTGCTACAGTATTCTGATTGATAATAAAACTGCTGATCTTCTTATAGCCTACTCCTTTCTTGTGTATAGAAATAATATTTTTCTCAAGCCTTGTGACATTTCTCTTCCATGTGGTGCCATTGCTGACAGCATAAAATGGGAAAGGGTTTTTTTTTGTTAAGTAACACCCTTGTATAATCAACTGTCTGCTGGACACCTGTTTAATGAATAATTAGACTTACCTGTAGTTGAATTCTTGTTAATTAGGATTTATCTAAAATTTAGCTTTACTTTTAAGACTTTCATTGGGGTGTATTCATTTTTGCAGCATGGTCTTGGATGAATTTGTTAGGAAAAATATTTTTTTGTGTGTGCAAATTAACAAATCTTGTTTGCAATCAATGGCCTGCATTCATGGGAGTATTTTGTAGCATAGCGTCCCATAGAAAAAAATATTGATTCTGAAAGTGAAGGAAATGTTTTCTGACAAATCTGTTGGGGTGTACTCATTTATGCTGAGCACTGCATGTGTGTGCATGTGTATGTGTGTGTGTATGTATGTATGTATGTATATATATTTTCAAATAAAGACTTCAATGTTGGTGATTGTACAATTTGTGGTTATTTCAATAACCATATATAATGTTACCTGTAAATGATTAATGTTACACTATTATACTACACATGTGCTAATTGTAAACCAAAATATATGTGTATGCAATAAATATTCAATACAAGCTGCTGTCATACAGATATACAATGTCCCAAACAAATAGACAAAAATCCTAAAATCTGAGGGGCTTTTGGTAACGTTACTTCTGTTTTTGGTGGAACACATGCTGCATGTTGCATTGGCAGTTTCATTTTCACTTTGAGCTCTAGCTTTTTTATTCTATGTAAGGTCACTGTGTTTTTGTAGCAGTTTTAAGAATAATAACTCACCATGAGAAGCTTTCCATTCTCTTCTAATGATCTATGCACACAATTAACGGCTGCCACTGAGTAACTTAGAGGGACAGAGGAGCCTTGAGACCACATGGGTGGATGACCCATAGCTTGGACCTTAAAAGGACCAAGGAGTATTGACAACTTCACTGGAGTCCCAACGTATAGCAAAGCAGTGGGACAAGCACAATTTGACGTATGTGAGTGCAGTGTGTGGAGCAGGGGCATGAAGGAGTGAGGACACAATATTTTATGGATCCAGAGCACATGTGCTGTTTTTTAATTTTTTTGTGCACCAAGCACTTTATTATGTGGACTACTTTACTGTATATAATAATTTATTAGAGGACATTATTGCATGTTTTGGTATATACTAGTGCTGTCTTTCCTAATTTCAGGATTTATGTTTTTAAGTTTAACATTTTTCTCTTTAAAAGTTCTATTATAAATGAAAGTAAGCATGCTTTTTTGTGGGCAAGGTGGATTCTTTGTTTTCCACTGCCTGCTCTGGTGCTTTGGTTCTGAATCATACTAGAAACATGTGGTTGATTTACTAATACCGAAGAGTGCAAAATCTGGTACAGCTTTGCATAGAAACCAATCAGCTTTCAGGGTTTTTTGCCAATGCTTTATTGAGCAAGCTGAAGTTAGAAGCTGATTGGTTACCATGCACAGCTGCACCAGATTGTGTACTCTCCAGTTTTAGTAAATCAGCCCCCATGTTTTCATCTCAGGTAATAACCCTATCAAACACCTCTGGATTCCTCAAAAAATCAGATGAAATTTGAAAACGACATGCTTTCTGATCTTCGGTCAAGATTCGAGGTACCATCTTCGCAGAAATCTTTCTCATTCCCAAATCCTCTGCTAGAATCTGCCACATTGTTTACCTGTTCATGTTCAATTCTTCTGCAATAATTTACACACTCATTCTTCGATCTTAGCATACAAGGGTTTGCACTGTACATTTGCATTCGTCCTTTGTGTTTTTGGCTGCCCCTTCTTGCATCATCGTGGACATCTATTCACCCCTCCTCAAATCGCCTATGCCTTTAAAAAAGTACTTGATTTCTTTATGGAATGTTTACCATAAATCTGTTGCAACAGAGTTAAGGTTTCATTCACACTTTTACCAATTTTTGCACAAAATGTGATGTAATCTACTTCCAGATTCCTGTCACTCATTTTCCACCAACCCTGTGATGCACACAAATGTTATTTCTTCCACTACTCCTTAACCTCCTCGGCGGTATGATTTTTTCCAATTTTTTGTGCTGAAAGCGGTACCATTTTTTTGCATGGAAATATGTAGTTTTTTATTGTAGGCTGTAATTTTTAGGAATAACTCACTGAAATCTGTACGAACAAGAGTCTATTAAACATTCCGGATATGATAAAATTTGAAACACGAAATCATAAATTATAATTTATTAAATAATCATAAAAAATAATAATCTAATAATAAATTTGATTCAATAATATAATCAAACCAAAAACACTGAAATTTGAAATACAGAGGCAAATTCGCACATCGCTGAGCAAAGTCGCAAAATCGTTTTCAGTGTCTGATGACGAATTTCCCCACAAATCATTATCACTCAATTATGCAAGTGGTTCTGATTTACTATCGCTGTTCTAAAACCGCTATTGACGTAAAGGGACACTTTTTGGACGCTATGGACTTTTCTAAGTTTCCAGGCAGAAAGAACATTCAAAATGCAGGCAGGGCACAGGACAAAGCAGTAGGGACAAAATATATGTGAAAAGCATTGAAATAGCAATGACAGCAAAAATGACATTTTTAAAAAATTTTAAATTTCCCGCCGTACGTCCCGATGTCACAGGGACCGGCACACAGAAGCCGAATACCGGCATCGGCCGGAGGAGATGGCCGGGGACGCTGCAGGGGACACATCGTGGGAGCGAAGGACAAGGTAAGTGCTGCAGGGACCCCCAGAGCAACGCCGCATGGTAAGCCCAAGTGTAGCTCAGGGTTACCGCTCTTGGTATAGAAATTTTATTTTACCCGAGCTACATTCGGGATTACCGCTAAGGAGGTTAAAGACTGAGTCAACTGGTCTGTGACCCAGGCCAGTGCAAGTAAGGCATGTCAGAACACGCTTGATTGCAAATGGCAGTGTGACTTACCAATGCCACGGCACTCAGGGAATTAAATTGTCACACCTTGTACAGGAGAAAACACAGCATAACAACACAAATACACAAACAAAAGACAACACCACACAATTTTTTTTTTATTTTGAAATCAAAATTCTGTTGACCTACAATACATCTGAAAACAGGTAAAGTTACATGTATTCTGTGAATGCATTGCCACAATTGACACCAATCGGGGCTTACCTAGAGAGAAAAGAGAAACATACACAGACAGTATGGCAATACTGAAAGCTGAGGATTAAGTTGCAGTGTTACCAACATCAATAAGGAAGTACTAGAGAGGTGTAGGAACACCTGGTATTTTATATTTACTGTAATATTTTTCAAAGAAAAGAAGAGCACACATAGAGAAAAAGATGTGGACCCTCTGCCTAAAAATGATTTTTTTGGTTTACTAATACTGTAAATGGTGCATTCATCTTCCATTGTCTTACCCATAGCAGCAATAACACATTTTCTTTAGCTAAAAATGTACAATATCTTATTTCAGGTTGTATTATTTTATTCCATTTTGCCATGAGAAGTTTTATTTCTAACATATAGTACTAAGTGTTGCTCAGCCAAAGGGACTTAATCCTGACAATCACCTACCTGTTCTGAACAGCAAACCATATGTAGAAAGATGATTTTATCTACAAGAGACTATGAAAACAGGCAATGCTCAAGGGTTAGCTGATTAATCAGGGTCACTACATATACTGGCCTTTATTCCTAAGAGATTGCAGGATTAAAGTTGCTTTTCAAAGATGAAAGAGACACATATCTTTACTTTTATCTTACTGTAGAAAAAAAAAAATCACACATCTAGATACTGACAGGTTTCTAACTGTCTATGTAGGTTCTCTTACTTTCTTGAACTTTATGAGTTTAAAAAGTATATTTATTTATGTATTCTGGCATTGATTTTTCTATGCAGAGACACCTAGAGACTGATTTACTAAAGTATAAAGTAAAGTGAATCTGCATTAACTTCAAACATGCAGACATTTAAAGAAGATTATGAAAAACAGAGAGTCTCCTTTCTGCATGTAGGGACCCTGTCTAAAAGCAGAAATATAAGGAAAATTGTATTATTTTAAATTTTGGATAAATTAAAGGAGTGTTATAACCTCATTTTGTTTTTTACCATCTGTGTCCCATTGGGGAGATTTACCTTCACTTTCTGTCCCACAGCCAAAAACAGAAAAGTGAGAGGAAATCTCTACAAATTAAAGAAATCTCCAGGTCACTAGAACTAGTATCCCCATTGGAAGATTCCCCCTCTATTATGGTTCCAGGAACAACCCAGAATTTGGGATTTTGTTTTACTTTCACTTAATTTCACTAAATTTTATTGATAAACATGACAAATATAGTGAATGAATCTCCATAACAACGGCAGAGGTAGCAATAAAAACTTGTGACAATATATAAAATCAAGTGTTGTTGCGCTTATGGGTGAAATCTTAATGAAAATTGACCTTGATTCTCCAGTCTTGTTAAATTCCCCTCCCTGAGCTTAGGAAAAAACAGGAACAGAACATAGGAAACACAGAAAAAGTAAATGCATTGTGCCAAGTGTAAAGTTTGGTAGAGGAGGGATTATGGTGTGGAGTTGTTTTTCAGGGGTTGGGCTTAGTACCTTAGTTCCATTGAAGGGAACTCTTAAGGCATCAGCATACCAAAACATTTTGGACAATTTCATGCTTCCAACTTTTTGGGAACAGTTTGGGGATGACCCCTTCCTGTTGCAACATGATTGTGAACCAATGCACAAAGCAAGGTTCATAAAGACATGGATGAGCGAGTTTAGGGTGGAGGAACTTGACGGACCTATACAGAGTCTTGATCACAACCCGATAAAACACCTTTGGGATGAATTAGAGTAGATACTGCAAGCCAAGCCTTAACGTTACTTCCTCTCTTCCTTCCTGACCAGTAAGATGTATGCATTGAGCGTGTGCCGGCTGGTCGGGGCACATGTGCAGTAGCGGTGGCACAATCTGCTTAGCCGCTGTATTTTCAAGAAAGCTGTCAGCACACAAGAACACTGTGGGAGTTATACCATCAGCACAGAGAGGAGCTGAGGAGGATCAATATCATTGAGAAGTGCCTCATCTAAAAAAAGTTTTAAGAATTTAAATTGACAAAAAAAACCACCCCAATGTATATGCACGTACATTATTTTCATACACATATGCATGAACATGTGATTTTACTAAACATATATATCACTGTGCATGTTGGTTTGAGAGCAGCAGTTCTCAACATTCTTTCCAATTAATTCTAAATGTATGGCCTGTGAGCGCTTTTAGTATCACCTATGGAAAATGATGTGTATTGAAATTTGCCACCGTTTCAGAGACACATGCAATTTTAAGGTTTGACATGTTGGGTATATACTTATTTGGTGAAATCTCATGTTTTTTTATTTTACAAACATGTGTTACATTTGTATTCACTAAAATTAACTTTACTGTATTTTGTACTGAAATTATGTGTTTAAAAACTGTTGCTCAAATATTATGTGAGACATAAAAAATGTAAACTACAGTCATTTTATTCTCCAGGATCCCTGCTTTTGAAAATATATAATGTTGTGGCTTGGACAAGTTTTAACTAATCCTCAGGCTTGACTGTGCATTTTAACATATGTGCAAAAAAAAGCAAAAACAAAACTAGCTATTGTTGAGAGGTGATTGGCACCCAATATATTTACCCCTTTATAAGCTAAGGATTCTGCCCTAAGAGTGGATGCTCCCTAAAAAGAAAGTAAGTACTTTGTCATTTAGAGATGTCAGCCTGGTATACTACTTTAACCTCCCTGGCGGTATTCCCGAGTGTAGCTCGGGGGTAAAGTTTCAGTACCACAAAGCGGTAACCTCGAGCTATCCTCGGGCTTACCATGCAGCACTGCTCCGGAATCCCTCGATCACTTACCTTGTCCAGTGCTCCCGCGATGTCCCTCCTGCAGTGTCCCCGGCAATGTAATCTGGCGGATGCCGGCATCTGTCATCTGGGTTCCGTCCCCTGTGAGCGTCGGGACGTACGGAGGACGGAATGGCGGGAAATTTGAAAATGACAAAAAGTGACATTCACTAAAATCATTATCAAACATAATCAATCATCAAACATTACTGTATCAAAGCATTTCACATACATTTTGTCCCTAGTGCTTTGTCTGCCTGCCTGCATTTTTACTGTTCTTTCTGCCTGGAAACTCAGAAATGTCCATGGCATCCAAAAAGTGTCCCTTTAGGGCAAAAGCGGTTTTAGACCAGCTAGAGAACAGTGATAGTAAATTAGAACCACTTGCAGAATTGAGTGATGATTTGTGGGGAAATTCGTCATCAGACACTGAAAACGATTTTGCGACTTTGCTCAGTGATGTGCGAACTTGGCGCTATATTTCAAATTTCAGTGTTTTTGGTTTGATTATATTATTGAACTAAATGTATTATTATATTTTTTATGATTATTTATTAAATTATAATTTATGATTTCTTGTTTCAAGTTTTATCCTACCTGGGATGTGTACTAGACTCTTGTTCGGACAGATTTCAGTGAGTTATTCCGAAAAATTACAGGCCTACAATAAAAAAAATACATATTTCCATGCAAAAAAATGTACAGCTTTGTGCACAGAAATATGGCATAATCAGACCGCTAGGGAGGTTAAGGGTCATTCCACACCACTGCTATACGTGAATTGTTCCTATTACCCAAATTGAAAGGTAAGCCCTTTGGAAGGTAAAAAGGTTCAGCTTACTTCACTTCATTCCACATCTTAGTTATTCAAATCTTATTTCATTTATCTACACCTCACCCTGTTTTACTGCCTAATTTTGCTGTAATAATAAGTCCCATATGATGACCATATATATGTGACTTTTCTATGAACAAATACATCAAATCAAACCCAGAAATTATATAAAAATTATAAAAAAAAAATCAAATATAAAAATTAAATATAGACAATTATGTCCAAAAAATTCCACCGTGTCCAAAAAACAAAAAATAAAATAAAAATAAAAACAAAAAGTCCCAAAAAATAATCCTCACAAGTGTAAACTCAAACACTTAAACTTTTTCTTCTTCTTTCATCACCACAAACCTTCTTAATACCCGCAGATCCTGATATTCATGCACCTCAAAAAAGAAAAAGAACTCGACATAGTGTCATACCTTAAATAATGTAAACACACGTGCCACTAAATGTGCAGCATGCAAAATAAATGTGTATACTCCAACCAAGTGTCAGAACACATAAGAGTGAAAACACATTCTCATAGGATATGTCATGCAATGTGTGAGAAACCACTCCACAGATAAACTGCCAGTGTATCACACCACACCCTATGTATATATAAAGGTGAAAACCAAAACCCAAATCACCACTCTCCAACTCTAATAAGGATGGGTAATTACCCTATAGAAGAAACAGCAGGGCAGATTAACCACTCAGGGTTACAATCTCCTCTCATTGATTTTCTCCAACGATTAGGGTCACCTCCTCCACTTTCCTCCAGAAAACCAGTCACAATAAAAAGGTATTCTTCTTTATTAATAACTCACATAACATTCCGTGGTAACAGCTCCTCACATAACATTCCGTGGTAACAGCTCCTCCTCACAAGCAGTGTGTACATGGACAGGTTCAGGGAAACATAAACCGCATGTTCCCACTTCCAAGATGGCCGCGATCGCACTTCCGGTCAACGTCGATGCGTATGACGTCACGTGTCCCTGACGCAGTTTCGTCACTTCCTTTGACTTTTTCAGAAGGAAGTGCGACCCTTCTGAAAAAGTCAAAGGAAGTGACGAAACGCGTCAGGGACACGTGACGTCATACGCATCGA